AAAACCCCCCCGGGAAGGCCCCGCCGGCCATCGCGGGCCGTGCTTGAGCCCCGGGCGGCGCCGCTCCTCTCCCGGGCGCCCGGCTCGCACGCTTTCCGACGCGGCTTTGCGGGTTCCGACCGTCTGAGTAAAGGAAAATACAGAGCAAGCGGAGGAAGGAAACAAAGGGAGGGGGGAAAAAAGCCCTAAGAGCCCCTCCTTTCCAATATCCAAACCCTACGGTTCACAAGAAAAGAGGAAAAAATAATCCGTTATGGAGGGGGATGCCTCCAAGCTCCTGAAAACAGAGCATTGCGGGATAAAGTAAGTAAAGTAGGCGACACGCTTTCTTTTTTCTTTCTTTTCTTTCCCCTTACTTTGTGATCTGACTTTATGGGATCTTGTAGGTGAGGAATAGCTGTGGAAACTCATTAGGAGAGGACAGGCAGGCAGAGCAACGACAAGTGGACTGATCGATGAACGGAAGAAAGAGTTTGGCTCACTCTGCAGGATTCCTCAGAATTCAGAAGTAGCAGAACAAAGTATATTTCACCACGAAAATAAAATCAAATAAAATAATAATGATAATAAATAAAGGCAGCAGGACAGGGCAGGGGCTGGGTTGCCCGCAGTTCTGGCCGGGCTACGTTGTGCGGAACAAACGCGCTCCTAACCCACCTCAGACTGGTTTGATAACACGGGAAACACCCTTTTCTTCCTCACGCCTCCCTTCCCCAGAGGGCTGCTGTAACTCTGCCAAACGCATTCGGCGCGGGCAGCTCCAGCGACTCCCCAGCCGTAAACTCCCGTCCTCCTCTCGTCCTGAATATTCCCATTTCTCACGGAGCAGGGTGCGGGGGGAGCGCGCTCCGCCGCCCTGCAGCCCCCCGGCCTCCTCCCCCCGTCCCGTTTTCCTGGGAGAAGCCCTCAGCCAACTAGAGCAACTTTCCAAACTCCTGCTGGGGAGTTGACCTACCGAACTATCAGAACCGGTGACTCGCTAAGGAAAAGAGGAGAGGAAGAAGTGAGGAAAGGAAAAATAAAGAGGGACGGGAAGAAACCAAGCAAGAAAACAAGCAAGCAAGCAAAAAGGGCAGGAAGAAAGAAGGAAAGGAAGAAAAGAGGAAGGCGCGGAAAAAGCGGGTGTCGGGAGCGGGGTGCGGTGTCCGCGGCCGGGAGGAGGGCAGCAAAGACAAAGGCAGAGGCAGGCAAGGCGGCTGACCTGGTCGAAGTAGATGGTCATGGTGCGGTTGCTCATCTCGGAGGGCTCGTGGTTGGTGCTGCGCGTGGCCGAGAAGGCCACCTTGGCGCTGCCCGAGCGCACCTAGATGCCGAGCGAGGAGGTGATGGCGCCGTCGGCCGAGGGGCTCGAGTCGCACACCACGAGGCACTTGCCCTCCAGCACGATGGGCTCCGTGTCGTTCTGCGCCCGCCCTCTCCTTCTAGTCCTA